TGAGGTCTGCATGGTTTTTGGAAACTTGTCCCCTGTGCCTTGCTGGGAAGGTCCTTGTCAGCCACAGTAACAGCTTCCTTGTTATGGGGAGATTAGAGCATTTGTGCAATGGCTTTTGTTGCTGTGAGTGCTGGTGGGAATAGGTACATCTTTGGAGCTGGGACAAAGCTAAATGTGAAGCCTTGTAAGTACTGTCTAAGCTACTTTTTAGCCCTGCAGGGCAATGCAGAAATGACCAAGGCAATAATGTCAGGGTATAAATTTTGGGAAGCCTTCCTGTGAGCAGGCACAGCTCTGTGCCCTTTCTCTAGCAATGGAAAAGCTGCGAGTTGCTGTGGGAGGAGGCGAAGCAGAGCAGAAGGTTTGTCTTTGGGAAGTGGAGAAATCTCTTTTCAAAGGCATGTAAGTGCTGTGAGACAGAGAGAAATGCATAGGTTTAAGTAGATATGTCCTGAGCAGTGCTGTCCCCTACTGAAGCAGCTCAAATGCAACTCTGCAACCCTTGTAGGTGAGGGCACTGTCAGAGGAAGTATAGCTGTGTGTCAGGCTGGTGTGTGTAAGGATGCTATTGTAGCTCGGGAATTAGTGATTTCCCTTTCTTTCATCAGTTTTTCTGTGCTTTGCTGGGAAAGACAAATGTCAATCTCATCTGCAGGAGATGGTGTTTCCTTTCTGCTAGCTGTGGGGTTGTTGCAAAGCTGGCTCTGGCTGTGGCAATTTGCAGGGGCAGGTTTTGGCAAGCTCATCTTTGGGCATGGAAGCAGACTTTCTGTGAAACCCAGTAAGTAAATCTATGTTCACTGGCTTTCAGTGTTCCCCAAAGGAATGTATTGTTTTCCTCCCTTGATGTATATGGGAAATCTTGTACTGTTTCTGGAGTAAAAGTTGTGTGCAGTTTTTGTTAGTGGTTGTGTCACTGTGTGGCTTCAGCATCCAGCTGGAAAACTGCCTTTGGGAGTGGGACACAACTGATAGTGAAACCTGGTAGGTAGAAACCAAGCTTGAAAGAGTAAGGATTGGAAACTCATATCCCTTACTTGGAAATAAAACCAACTGAGCTGTGTTAGAAACAGGTGGAGTGTGTAAAGTGCGTGTGCATGTGTATGTGTTAGATACAGCAGTCACAACCAAGAAAGACTTTTTGAAGGTGTGCAGCATGTGCAGGAGAGTCCAGGGGAAGATATCTGCTTTTAGGGCTGTTTTTTAGGGATGAGTGAGGCATTGTGATCATAATCCTGCATCTTTTCTCTATGTGGGACAAGGATGCACTTGGGGGTCGTCTCCGTCAGGAGTGCACAGCTAGGAATACACAGCTTTGGAAGGAATAAGCTAGTGCAGGGGAGGCATGACTTACACGCTTTTTGTTGTGAAGGCAAACACTGTGTGACTAATTATGGCAACCTAGTCATCTTTGGAGGTGGAACTCGGCTAAGGATAAGTCCTAGTAAGTTTTAAAGCCTTTCAGTCCTCCACTTGGTAGAACAGTTTTGTTCTCATGACCTAGTATAACGAAGTGGAGGGAGACTGGTTCAAACTGTGTGTTTTCTGCTCTGCTTTGCCTGGTAGCAGCAGAGACCTTGATTTTAAAAGGCCATGAATTTACTCCTTCTGCTTATTCCTCCCAGCTCCTGCTCTCTGCCTTTCACATAAGCAGACCAGGGTCCTGAACCCTCTTACTAAGGATAGACATTCTGTGCCATGGCCATCTGTACCTATGACAGTTGGGGTGGGTTGCTGACGGCTCTGACCAGCAGAGCCCTGAGTGGGTGTCCTTTGCACTGCTAGAGAAAGGCCAGATTAATAGTGCTTTTGTTTGCACCAGAATCCCAGTAGTCATCCCTCCTGTTAGATAAGAGTCCCAAGAGACTGGAAAGGAGCCAATCCAGGACTGGAAGACACTGATCTCCTGGAGATTAGCTGTAGAATAACTGGCATGACAGATAATGGCTTTTGCTGGGGTGTGAAGGACTGTGTGAGCACAGGAGACTACATACTGACGCTTTGGACAGGGACACACCTGGTTGTGAAGCCCAGTGAGTACAACTGCTGCCCAGCTGGGGCTATTTCTTGTGCTCTGTTGCCCCAGGCCTCCTTTTCCAACACTCTGAGCACTTTTCTTTATCTGATTGGATCTGTCTAGTTTCTGGCTGGGTGGGCGGTGGTCTTTCCTGCATGTCTCTTCTTGGGATTGTGGCTCTTTAACTGTGGGGTGACATGCCACCTGCTTTCCTCCATGACAGGCTTTGGCTCAGGAGAAGGAGCACCAGTCCTCCAAAATGGGAGTTGTACCCATATGTCCAGTGGTGATCCTGCCATGTTGGTCTAAAATGACCCATACTGCTCTCAGTTTGCCTGGGATGGACAAAGTGGCCACACGACTGCTCCTAAGAGTTCTAGCTGCTCCGTGGGGAGGCTGTCCTATGTGACTGCATCCCAGTGGGGTTTGTGTAGCAGTGGGAAGCACTATCACCCTTCTGCTGCCCCTCCAAGCCTTGGCACAGTGGGACAAACATGAGGGGAGAGGTGTTGCTTCTGAAGTGGTTTGATGGGCTTTTTGTTATGGAAGGAAATGCTGTGTGATTATACTCTAGCTATGAGAAGCTGACCTTTGGCTCAGGGACCAGACTGTCTATCCAACCCAGTAAGTGTGCAGCTTTCCTGTGTCGTCTTTGTTCAAACTTCTTGAGTGTCCACTGTGGAGCCCTGTTAGGCGTATTTGTTGTATCAGTGTTGTGTTACAGACAGGAAGCTTAGGAACTGAACAGTGAGACCCAGGCATCCTTTGTCTGCTTCCAGATACCTCCATGTTAAGGGTTCAGTTATTCCTATATTTAAACAGTTGATTCTGCAGCATTGAGATGTGCACCATTTGATGGTCACTGATCGATCATCTCATAGCAGCCTCGGAAACCCACGGACACCCAAACCTGATGAATTTCCATGGGTTTCCTGCACAGAAACAGGCTTTTTGGATGCATGGTTACCTTGATTTGGGAAAAGCACTATGATGGGGGGGGAATTGTCACTCAGAGGTCTTAAAAATTAGGAAAGGGAAAGGGAAAGGCTTTTCTGAAAAGTGCAAGAGGGCAGCGGAATAGATTTTTTCACTTGTTCCAGGTAAGGATGCTGTTCTGGAGCCTGTGTCAGGGAGCTTTACTGTGGCCTGAATGCAGGTGCTTTATGTTTGCGATCATGTGCAGGGCTGAGAGAGACATTTTTGTAATGAAATGTGTCAGAGTGTGGATACTGCTTCCAAAGTCACTTTTGGAAAGGGAACAGTGCTTTCAGTAATACCAGGTAAGCATCAACTTGTCCTGGAAACTGGAATTCCTTAATTTTTGTCTTATTCTTAGTTGTTTTTAGGGGAATAACTTTGGGAACAGCAATTCTGGGAGACCTGCAATTCTCCAGGTGACCTTTAGACTTTGTGTGGCAGTGGGAAGCAGTGTGTGAGCAATGGTGCTTATAACAAAGTAACCTTTGCCTATGGGACAAGTTTGCTTGTGTTGCCCAGTAAGTGCTTGCTAACCAAGGCAGCAGTGCCTGTTATTTTTAAAGCTCACTGAGCTCCAGGAAACATGCACTATCTAACTGTCTTTCTCTCACCTTGGCAAAGTTTTTCCACTCTTTGGGCCACCCACTGGACAACCTGGCAGCACTATGAAGACAGAAGGGGAAGGACGTTTGGGAGGTGCCTCTTATTTCTGGCCTCAGCCCTGGTCTTATCCCACACAGGTAGACTGTCAATCTCTGCTCCTGCCCAGGGATCCTTCTATCTCCTGTCAACCTTCTGATGCCCCTCCTAGCCTAGACATGGCTGGGAAAGGTGTTGCAGAGAGGTGCTGCTTCTGAAGTGGTTTGCTGGGCTTTTTGTTATGGAAGGAAATGCTGTGAGATTCTGGTACTGGCTATGGCAGGATAACGTTTGGCTCAGGGACCCGACTGTCCATCCAGTCCAGTAAGCGTACAGCTTTCCTGTACTTTTCCATTTTTTCAAAAGCCCTTCAATGTCCACTGCAGCTCCTATAGACATTCTGGTTGTGTCTGGGTCACATTGCAGATGGGAAAGAGAACATAGGCACTATTTTAATATACTTTCATGCCTAGAAGCCTCTTGAGTGGTGGACTTCTGCTATTTGGAATACAGGCATGATTTAGGCCAGAGGGACAAATTGACTGACTTGTTCTCAGTACCTGTGTGTGGCTGTGGAAGGCTGTGGGGGATGTGTAAGATGGGTTTAGTTCTGTTCCCTACTTTTAGACTTTCAAGTATTTTGGGAAAGACTCAGTGCAAAGGTTTTCTGATAATTGTGTCAAACAGCTCTCAGTATGTAGATTGTTTTTCTGAGCATAACCAGGGAGATAAAAGCTTTGGATCATTATGATACTTGCTTTAAGCCTGGATAAGGGGTGAACAGTGAAAGGAGGAACCTAATGTGGCTGAGCAGACAGCCAGAAGTGGAACCCTCAAAAAAGCCAAGCATGACTGAATTAAAACAAGCCCTCCAACACTGTCTGAAGTGTCTGGATGAAGAAGCCCATTTGCAAAGAGCTGTCACATGGTGCTAGTAGCGGAGAATGGGGAAAATTTACATGGGGAAGTGGAACCAAACTTCTTGTTGCCCCAGGTGAGCTGTCTCTTCTCTGAGTCTAGGTGGACTCAATATAGATGACACTGTGCTCTAGCTTCAAAAAAATAATAGTGTAGTGTCCCTGTGGAGCAATTAGGGATGGTTTCAGTATTCCCTGGAAAGAAGTGTTAGACTTCTTATGGAACCAATGTGCACCAGAAAAGCATCCATCCTGGGGAAAGGAGGCAAGTGAAAAGTGAAAACAAGTAAGTGAAATACAAGAACAGAGATGTAAAAAATAATCCAGTGTTCCTTAGTGAGTGATGCTAGTTTGGATTTGTCAAGGATGGAGGTGGAAAGGGAATTGCCTTGCGGCCCTTGCTTGTACTATTAATGAGACTGTAGTGCAGGGAGAAAGAAGACTAAGCGATGGATGTGGAGGTAAGAAGTAAGGCATTGCAAGTGCAAGTGTGTAAGAATGGAATGATTTCCTTGAGGAACGTTTTTCTGGTGGATAGGAGTATACAAAGGTTTTTGCTGTGGCAAACACCAACGTGTCTATGAATACCTACCAACTTACATTTGGACATGAAACCAGCCACATGGTAAAACCAAGTAAGATTTCTAAGACTTGGGACATTGAGTTATGCAGAGGAGAAATTCAATCCACCCAAAGACAAGGTTAGTGCCTGCTAAGAGAGCAGCAAAATGCAGTTGCAGAAGGCTGTTGCCAGAAAGTAATGACAGTGATCTCTTAGTTCCTATTACATCTGTTGGATATTGTAAAACAGGCGGGACGGTTTGTAGAGCAGTGATGTAATTTTCACAAGCTGTGGAGCTTTCCTGTGAGAGAACACTTGAAAACTAGAAACTACTCTAGGGCCACGGAAGGTATTTTATCACTGTGAGTAGTTTTGTGCTTGCAGCATTGTCTAAACGAGGTCTGTGTTGTGATTTTCCTGTGAGGGAATACTTAACAACTGGCAACCTCTGTAGGTGCACAGAACTTATTTTTTGCAGTGTGACTGGTTTCACACTTGCAACATTGTCTAGGCAAGCTGTATGTCATGATTTTTCTTCCAGAAATTTAATTAGCTCATGTTTGGAGTAGGAACTAACCTCCTTCTTTCTCCAGGTATGTGAACTTTGCACATTAAGTAAATGTCTAACAATCGGTTAGGTACACTTAGGTTTGGAAATTATTCACACAAAACTCTGTCGTCTATTTCTTCCTTTCATCTGGAATAAAATTATGAATAAGAAACTTGATTCCTAACTATAAAGAAGTTAGGATTTCCCAATAGCTGCTTGGATTTGGAGATATGCAATAAAACAACATGTAAAAAAATTTTAAATTGTGAGTATATACTCACACCTAAGAATCTTTTCTGAGCATTTCAATCAGGAATCTGAAGTAAAATTTTTCACTACTCAGTAATTAAATACCAAATAAATATTCAGCCAGAATTGTAGACTCTTCAGAAGATTTTTGACTTTCAAAAAAGAAAAAAAAAATAATTAAGAAAACTAAAAGGCTCTTAGGAGACTGCCAAAAAATGCTTTTCCTTCCATTGTAACACAGTGAAAGGAACTGTAAATATTTCACCTGTGGCTTAGATGTTATTTCTGCTTTCTAAGAACTTAAATTCCATTTTATCTTTGGGATGTAACGGTCTAAGTTTTGCATGAATAATGACAGTGAGGTGCCATAGGTACTTGCATTTTGTTTGCTCATTAACTTATGGATTAACTTTGATCTTATTGTTCCTGTAGTTTACAAGCTTTTCAGGGACAGGGATCTTTAATGAGTTGACTTTAGGGACTCTGGGCTTCACAGTAACCAGTAAGTGAGGTTTTGATGCACTGTGCCCTGATGTCTGTGTTGTCATGAATGCATTTTTCCATTTACATACCTCGGTTTACAGGGCTTTCAGCATGCTAAGCCAGTTTTTCCCATGGAAAGCTTGCTAGTTGTGTGAACTGGGAGGATGCATTTGGACAGCCTTGGCTAAATTAGTCAAGTTTGGCTCCAACCGGTTTCTTTCTGTGGTTTGGTCTTGGAGTTTTTTGTAGCTGTTTTTTCCATTTAGTAGCAATGCAAAAATACAATCTTCTGTGAATACATGGCCTGAATTCAGATTCTGGTATTTAATGTTTATGCATTATTCTCTTCAGCCCTTTTCACAATAAAGATACTATTGGTGTTCTTCTGCTATCTAGGGCAACTAAGGTTGCATGATAGGAGCTCACAGTTGATAGTGGCACCTCCCCTCAGGGTGAAACTCAGCAAGTATTAATACAACCCGAATTGCAAACTGAAAAGGAGGATGGATATTGCAAGGGAACAAAGCAGAAAGGTAACATAGACTGGTTGGACTAAATTAGACAACTGACATGAGAAGTATTTGAGTGTCCAGTAGAGAGACTTCTAGACATACTCGGTTTTTTTCTGGATTACTTTTCATAAGGGAAGGAGAACATAGGTGGTATTTCATTTAAGGCAAATGGTGAAGAAGTGTGTCTCAGAATGTGATCTTGCATGAAATTCCCACTCGTGTGGCTCAGGGAAGAGGCAGCAGTCTCTCAAAATGGAGTATGTACTCATAGGTCTAACGGTGCTCTTGATACCACAGACAAATCACAGTGGGATCTTCACTCCAGGATACAGCTGATTATAGGTGAAAGTCAACCCTGTCTAGTTGGGCTGTGGATGCCCAGCTTTGCCAAGTATTTGGGAAGGTTGCTGCTGAGACAGGAAATCCTGTGTGATCATAGGAGCCAGTGTGTGTCTTTAGCTCTGGAACAAGACTCACCGTTAGGCCATGTAAGTCCACTGCTCCTGTGCTTTCTTTTCTTTATGGACTTTCTTGGGGTGATTGAAAGCAGCAGTGTGACTGGGTGTTTGGTCATTTCCGTGTGATCATATCTAGAGATGGACTTTGCTTTAAGAAATGTGCCAGCTTGGTCCAAAATGAGCCTTCTTGCTCTTAGTTTGATTGGGGTATACAAAGTCACCACTTGCCTGCTGGCAAATAACCCATGGGAAGACTGTCTTACGCCAATGCATCGCTCTGGGATTTCTGTTGCAGTGGGAAGCACTGTCATACTTCTGCTGCGCCTCCTAGATTTGGCATGGCTGGGCCAAGGCTTGGGGAGAGGTGCTGCTTCTGAAGTGTCTTGTTGGGTTTTTTGTTATGGAAGGAAATGCTGTGTGATTATACTCGGGCTTCAGCAAACTGACCTTTGGCTCAGGCACCAGACTGTCCATCCAGCCCAGTGAGTGAGCAGCTTTCCTATATCTCCTTTGTCAAAAGTTTTTGAGTGTCCACTGTCGTGCCCTGTTACATATACTTGTTGTGTCTGGGTCACAGTACAAATGGGAAGGAGAATATACGCGGCCTTTCATTTAATGCACATGATGTAAGCAAGCAGGGGAGTCTCTACGCTAGTGGGCATGCACAGCAGCTCCCCTTTGGATGAGCAACTTTACCTGAAACAGTTTCAGGAAGAGATTTCCCCATGTTCTGTGTAGTAGCACTGTCTTTGAGCCTGTTGAATCAGAGAGCTTTGCCACAGCTTTTTGCACAAGGTCATTTGCAGGGCTGACAGGTACATTTTTGTAATTAAATGTGCCAGAGTTTTATGGTGCAGAGAAAGTCACTATTAGAAAGAGAATTGTGTTTTCAGTTGCAGCTTGTAAGTTATCAGTTGCACTGGAAACTGGAATTGCTTCATTTTTCTCTTCTTCCTTATTTTTCACCTATGAAAAATTTATGAACTGAACTCTGACACCTAAGTGTTCCTTGTGTTCTTCCAGATACCTCCATGTCAAAGTTCCAGTTAACCCTGTCTTTAAACAGTTACTTTTACAGCATTGAGTTGTGCACCATTCAATGATCAGTGACCAGTTATCTCACAGCAGCCTTTGAAACCCACAGATGCCCAAACCCAATGTATTTCCATGGCTTCCCTGCATAGAAGCAGGCTTTTCAGGCACATGGTCACCCTGATTCTGGGCAAGCATTACCATGGGTGGGAGTTGTCACTCCCGGGTCTTAAAAAACAGGAAATGCTGTTTTCTCTGCAGTTTCGTTGTGGGAAGTTTTGCTGTTCTTTTTCCATTTTCTAGCTCAGATGCAAACTTCTTTGAATGCATGGCCTGAATTCAGTTTCTATTATATGATATTTCTACATTATTCTTTACAGTCCTCACAATAATACTACTATTCAGGTTCTTGCGCTATCTATGGTAACTCAGGTTCTCTGTGGCTCTGGATAATGGAAAATTGACTATATATTTCACTTACGGAGTGCTTGCCTGTGTGTGTAGGTCTCACATCAGTGCTGAATCTGAGCTGCTGTGGAAGACAGTTCTAGAGAGGATGGAAGGGAGATTTCTGTTGTGTGCTGAACCACTGTGAAGAATCTGGGGCATGATACCAGCTCACATTTGGTATTGGCACCTCCTCTCAGAGTGGAACCCAGCAAGTAATCATCAATACAACATGAATTGTAGCCTGCTAAGGAGGGTGGATATGGCAAGAGAACAGAACAGAGAGGTAACACTAAGTAGGTGGTGGACTAGTGTCAGGAATGATTAAGGAGTCAGAAAAATGTGGCTGAAGGAAGAGTTTATTTCACTGCATGTACTGAGGAGGTGGCCAATAACGTTGGTTAGGTTATTCCAATAAGAATCTTGCACTGCCATGTTCTCAAGTCTTAATCCAGCATATATGCATAGCAGCACACCATTTTGCAAAGCAAAGTGTCACAGTGTAATACTGTGAATTATGGCAAACTTACATTTGGAGCTGGAACCAAACTCACAGTTTCTCCAGGTATGTCTGAATACTCAGGTGTGATTCTTCTTGAAAGTATTTTTTTCAGTTTGCAAGTTATTTTGCCTGTTTCATCACTTCACAACATATTATGAATAGGACAATAAATTTTCAACTGGCATAATAGCAAGTTATTTCCATGACTGCATATATATTTTCCTTTCTGTATTGCTGAAGATGAATGGGCTAATGCAGAACTTTTACATATGCAAGAGGATTTTTATTGGAAAGTCAGCAGAAAGTGGACTTCCAAATTAAAAATCCTCATGTAAGGTAGAAGGAAAAGGAAACAGTGAAACTCAGGATGAGTCAGCAAAGTGCAGAGTGGTGAGTAGTCTCATAAAGCTGTAGCAGGTAAAAAGGACTTTTAAAGTATGTAAGTGCTAATACTTTAAGATAAAGACTCCTAATTGTATGTTAATGCAAAATTCACATTGAGCCTTTGCTTTGCAGATCCTCATAAAGCTGTAATGATAGGGGGTGGGTGTCTTTCATATTGTGAAGCATTATATAAATATTGGAAGCTCAAGAAGCAAGCTTATCCTTGAAAATGATAGCTAGCTTGTAGTCACAGTCGACTAACGTTGAGTTCTGCGAAATTACTTTGGCCTTCAACATCCACATGAAGTTTGAGCACATTCAAAGTAAAGCTCTGAAACAGTTGGAGAACAGTGTGGCAAGTCTCAAAAGCTAGGGGTGGAATAGATACCCAGATGGAAGGGAAATATGCCAAGAAGCAAAGTTCATTACTGAATGACTTTTGTAGAAAGTCTAGACTTCTGTGTCTCTTACCACAAAATAATTTTCTCCTGACAAAAACACATGGAGAAAATAGGGCTTTGGCAGTTGCTGCCACAAGGCAGTTGCTCAAAATGTCTTAAAAGAATCCCCCTAAAACTTCACACCTCTTCTCTTGTCTGAAACTCTTTGGAAAATGGAAAGAAAGGAAGGCAGATCCTGAGACACCAATATTTTTAATAAATGTATCAATTTTTCCAAGTTTCTTATGAATACTTTTTGAACCATTTAATATCTAAATGCTTTGAGTTAACACTTGAAAAGTAATATTTCTGTTTCTTTAAATGGTAGTGATTGTTAAGATAATTTCAAAATAATTTTATTCAGCAACATATAGAAACTATTAATTCTGAAAACCTCTGGAGAAATTCCACATATTTCAAATGACCTTCATGACCTTGTTCAAAAACATCTGAGAAAAATAAGAATCTCAAGTTTATATGGAGTTATCAGCAAGCTAAACGAGCTATAAATCAAGACTTTGCCTGAGTTCATTTACGTGTCCCCACATCTAGCATTATGGTCATGTTTGTATGCAACTGCTTCAGATCTCACCCTGATCACACTGTAGAACCTAAGAGCTTCCTGAGTGCATACTGAAACTTCAGTGGTTAATGGTAGAATAAGCAATGGCGTCCCTACCACAAAGAAATTGTATACCAAAAAGGGTGCTTTCTACTTAAAAGCTTAATGGCGAATTTTCTCTGGAATCACTCTTGACTAATTCAGATGGCAAATCCAAGAGAATGGGATTATGTACTACATCATTGATGAGGTGAGCTGTGAGGTAACAGCAAAAAAACTTTTTGAGAGAGGAGTCTGACTGGCAGACTAAAGTCTGAAGAATAGAACCTGTGATGCAGGTGGCTTTCAGGAAGCAATGGGATAAATTTGATGGAGAGGGATATTAAGGAACAGCTGTTTGGGAATTTGAAAGATGCAAAACGCTACATGAAAAGAAAGTTAGACAGAAGAAAAATCCTAGATAGATAGATCTGTCCAATCGTAGAGATAAGTAGGATTTCTTCTGGTGAAATATTTCATTGTTGAAGGTTCCATTCCAAACCACTCTGGATATCGTAGAGGCCAGTGCTATTGTGTGACTATTGAAGTAGTTACAAACCCACATTTGATTCTGGACAAGACTTCTGTTTTCACCAGGTACATTTGTCTTGATTTTTTGCTTAGTTTGCAAGATTATAACGGATTCACACCAAGATCTGGGAAATGGCAGCTGTTAAAGCTATACTACTCTGAGATCTCATCTTAACCAGTGGAATTCATTCCATGACAGTTGTCCAAGCAGTCTTCAATGAGACAGCTGCTGATAGGCATGTGCTTTCAGTGCTCTTCAATCAGTTGCATTCCTGTGATTCACTAAGATAAGCCTGGTTTCACTCTTCTGTCAAGTAAGTCATGTGGATTTGTTCTCTCCTAAGAGTAAATCCATACCACTTCCATTGGCCTTGAGAAAAGTCATGGATGAAATAAGTCAGAAGAAAATCTATTGAAATACAGGAATGGCTATAATATCTAGAAAATGTCCACTTATGGTGATTATCACCATTTTATTTGGTCTTTGCTTGTAGCAGAATCCCACCAAGGAACAGTATATTCTTAACATTCTTAGTATTAATGTTGGAAAGTGAATTAGGCTGCCTTTTAGCTGGTTAATTTGATGTACAGATACTGCATTATCCACAAATATTGCAAGTGGATTCTGTGTGCACCTGGGATTTGAAACCAGATTTGCTGAGATGTCACAGCTACAAGGTCATACTTAGCGGAGAAGGCTACATACTTGGCAGTGGAGAAGGCTACAAGCTGACGTTAGGAAAAGAAACCTTTCTGGTGATCAAGCCAGGTGGGAAGTAAATAGGGGAACATTTAGGAGAAAACTTGGACTAAAAGGCACACTGAAAGCTAATTTTAGGTGATGTTACAGATGCAAACCCACAGATTGTTCCTAGTATTGCCTCAAAAGGTGTAATACACAATTGTATGCAGTTAATAAATGAACTTTTTTCATTTGATCTCCCTGTTTCTGATCCTGATAATTTTCTAGTAGAATTTTCTCGTACTTTGATGGTGACTTAAATCAATGTATTTCATCATTGCTCCCTTAAGTTATTCTCTGCTACAGAATGTCTGTTGACCTGGTTGTCTGTATGAGTTGGGAAAATCTGTCTACATTTTTGTAGAGGTTGACACCATTGTGCCAATCAGGAAAATGTGAAACTCACATTTGGAACTGGGACACAACTTCTTGTTACCCCAAGTAAGTTTGAGTTTTCTGTTCCATATTAATACCAGGATAGGCAAATAATTTGTTCACTGGGTAGATGGGCTAGGACTTTATTGGAAGCTTTCCTTGACAAAAACTATTTGGAAGAGAGATGCTGTCTTTGAATCCAGGGAGCGTTTGGCTATGGTGCAGCAGTGACACACTACAGAAAAAAACAGCTAGAGAAGATGGTAATGCTCACACAGGTTTAAGAGTTGCAGCAAGGTGCAGTCATGCATAGAGTGCTGCAATCAGTTCACACGTGGCTGGATGCTACATAACAAGTTTAGCAGTTTTATAGAGTTTCTGGCTATTAAAGTTTTCAGTCTTGATTCGTGCTTCTTTAAAATAAAAATTATTCAATGTGTGGAGCTTATTCTGATCACTGGCTTAGAGACTGCATTTTCTAACTCTTAGCCTAAGAGAACATGTCATAATCTTTTGTCTTTAAAATCTGAAATTACAGTCCCCTTCCATATTTGTAAAAACTGATGTTACAGTATGAGCAGTCAGGAACTAGAAAAATTGTATTTAGAAGGGGAACCAAACTTGCCATGATGCATGGTAAGTCTCTTTCCTTTCATCGGTTATATTTTGAAATGCTTTAGAAACTGGAAAAGTTGTAACGAAATTTTGAACATCTTTGTGTGTTATCCTCTTGTGGACAGCTTTCCTACATATTTTGGATGAGAAGCCATTAGAATATGCAGCTGGTAGGCAGGAATTTGTTGCAAAGGCCTTTTGTTGAGTGGGAAACTGAAAGATACAGCAAATTTGTGTTTGGAAGAGGACCTAGATTTAAAGTAAACCCAGGTGAGTACAAGCACAGGCTATGAAGTTATGAAGGCAGGAGCAGTGGCCACAAGTCAGTGTTTCTGAAGAGGTCTGACTTTATATGGAATAAACAAATTCTCGATGAAGACTAGAGGGAGGAGTGAAGGCTGAAAGAAGATGAACCAAGGATTATTTCTCAACAGGGTACTTGTGAAGATGGGACACAGAGATTGGGAGTAGTGGGAAATGAGACAACATCATCAATTTCTTAAGTTAATGATCTTGGTATAACATTAACTTCTGAGTCCTGTCAGACAGTAATAGTGTTTGTGCAGTAATTATAAATAGGAAAATATTAGCCTAGGCAGAGATAACTTTATTTTACAGATGCCAGAGTCTGCATTTTTGCCTTAGACTAAGGGGGGAAAAAATCAGAGAAAGCTCTGGGTTTATGTTTAAGTTAAAGTTTCACACTGCATTGGAAAGAAATTTCCCAGATGACTTTGGCTATGGTATTTGCAATGATTCAAACTGGGGTGCGTGGGATAGTGGAGAAAAGTAATTTCTGGAAATGGCACAATGCTATCTATGACCCCAAATAAGTTATCTAATTAAACTCATTATATAGACTGGTCAGGAACAGATATAATTTTGGTGTGAAATAGACATCTACATCTGAGGCAATTCCACAAATGAAAGATCAAAAATTCTTCTGACTTTTTTATATCAACAAAAAAATTATCTTCTTCAACCTGTTTTTATAAAGTGATTTTAGGTTGATTCTTCTGAATGTGTTTTTTCTCACTCATTAAACAAATGGGATTTTTTTTTGTCTGGTACTACGTTAATAGTTAATCACTAATTTAGAAAGTTTCTCTTTTTTTTTGGAGTTGAAATTATTTTACTGAGTGTTGAAATTTTTTGAATTGAGGGTTGGACTGGATTACCTTTAAAGGTCCCTTCCCACCGAAACCATTCTAGGATTCTATGATTTTATTTTTCTAGAAACTAAATCTCTGGCATATCAAGTTGAAAACTGGTTCTGGCAATCAAAACCCGCTCTGATTTTGAAAGAAAAAGCATGCAAAATGTTGTGTGAAAATTATAGAGGTTCATGAGTAGCCACTTCAGTTCTTTTGTTTCCACACGATTGTTACACAGATGGGTTAAGCTATTTCATTCACCTGTGAGCTTTAAAGAATGGTTTAGAAGAATTGCTCCTTCTGACTGCCAAAAATCTTTCCTTTACAGTTGAAGCAGGGAAGCAGTAGAGGAGATCATAGTAAATCTCTCCTGCAGTTTATGTTATACATGAATAAATCTATACATGACCATAAACAGGGTATTGCTTCCCAGTATGAAATTTAAGAAAACTTCACCTCAACTTCTCCTTAATGTGAACACACTAGAAGCACAGGATTTATCCTATTTTGGTACAAGAGAACTATTTAGTCCATTGAACACTTGATTTCTCCTCACATACTGAGTATCTTCCTCTATTAATTCACCTTTAGTTTTAGTTCAGCTAGAAATCTTCCCCTTTAAAGATTTGTGAGAAAGATCTTGGGTGGTTTTGGTAGTTTTACTTCCCCAAGCATAATTACAAAGGCAATGACAAACTCATTTCTGGGATAGAGACCAGAATTGGTCCCCATGAATATGCAAAGAAGCATATTCACATTTGCAAATACTGAATCTCTGCACAGAGTCCTTGTACCTGGGATGACTTGGCTGTTGCTGGACTAGGACCTGGCTTCTTTCGTCTGAGTGGCTCCAGACAAGCACTGGAAGTCTAGAGTAGGGTACACATGTTAAATGTGGACATCTAGTCTTGCTTTAGACATCCTAGCATCCATGCAGGGCTGGCAGATTTCATAAACGACCTCTGGCAGACCTTTTGGAACCTCCATTGAAGGACAGTCAGCAAACATCACTAAAGTGTTTGTTAAGTCACTGTAGTTGCTCCTCTGGGGTCAAGATTAGCCTGTGTGAGGGTGTGAGGGGGTATATATTCCTTCTGAGTTGGGGGATAACTCCAAGTTGACTCTAGCTGTGGGATATCTTGTCTCAGGCTGAGGAATGGTAAGAGGATGAAAGAAAGAATTCTGTCACACCAATTCCAGTCTGACCAGAAATTCAGAGACTTTGCTTTGAAGGAAAGGGAGAATGAGATAAATCTCTGTACAATACAAGCTGTGTGTTGAATCAGTGCAGGATTTCTACTGCAGCTTGTTTGAAAAAAAATACATAGGTCTCAGTCTGATGTTGGAACAGGCTGCTTCTGCTCTCTCCCTGAAATCAGCCTCTAGAGTTGAAGTTCTCTGTAGACTGGTCAGGAATAGCATTCAAACTGCTCCTATTCTTCCACCTGGAAACCTTCAGTAAAGATTAAATTAGGCAGAGTAGATGGCTTAGAATATCATGATCTACTTCTCAATCTTTTCTGTAAGTACTGGTCATAAATGTCAATACAGCAGCTCCAACACATCCGCCAACTCATTATGACAGAATAACAGGAAACACAGGTCACAGTGCTGTGGTTATAATAGCTGATATTTACCAAGACTGCTATCTGCACACTTTCGTAACTGCAAAAACACAAAGGAACTTATCGGAAAAAGGCTCTAGTACCAGAACAAAGCCAGCAGCCACTCTGAGCAAGAATGAGAAATGTGTATTTTGCAAAACAAGTGCTGCTGAAGCTGCAAAAAACCCCCAGACCATATGTGTTTACCTGCTCAAGATAAAAGCATTGCATAGACTGAAAGGGAGAAGATACCCTAATTTGGATAGAGGTGGATAAGTAGATCTTCAAAAAGCATGGTACTCATTATGAGAGAGAAGCAGAACAGTGCTCTCAATTCCTCCTCTTCTCTTTCATATCCATGTACTTCATGACAATGATGTACCCTGGTTCATCTGTATTTTATATGAGGATCTACCATGAAGCTTTTTATCTGCTCCTGTCTTCCTCTACCTAACAAATAATCACTGAAATCTATTTCCAAAACAGTAACTGGGAGTATGGGAAGTGGGGAGTGGGGCTGAGGGAGTCATAATATACATTAGACTATATTCTGTATAGCTGGGAAAGAGAGAGTCTCATCAGGCTTTTCAAAGCCAGGACAAAGCTGGGATAGGTGAACTGCAGTTCAAAAGAAGGGCCAGAGAATGAAGCATTAGGCTATGTGGATTAGTTTATTTTCTCAGATCATACTCATAAAGAAGTATGGCTACTTCTCTAAGGTCCTGACAACTGGCAGTTGAACAAATGAGAAGCATTTATCTTGGTGATAAAACTACGGACTGCACTTCAATAAAATTTTGAGACAGTTTCTAGAAGTCAAGATTTAGTCCAAACATCCTCCATGGAAGGAAATTAAAACTTCTTCATCTGGGAGTGAAGTTGTCTTTAGTATTTCTACGACACTTATCAGTGTGGTGTGTGAACAGGGACAAAGCAAATATTAATCTAAACTCAGCTCTACACAATAACACTTGGTCAGTTTATAAATGTGAACTGAAGCTCCAGTTCAAACCTTTGATTATGGAGTCCAATGGAAAACGCAGTCAGAGGGTTGCCAAGAATCCCAAATCTGCATCTTGGCTACAGTATGTCTTTAATGATATTTCATCTGTTCATCATTAGAGTACTGCAATACCCATAACACCATACTATTATGCATGTACAAAGATTTAGAAAAGCACCTTCTCAAAGAAACAGGCTTCAAAAGTGGGACAAGTTGAAATGTATGCTTAGAGTACAAGTTTACAAAGCTAAATGTGGAAAGAAGAGTTTAACCACAGGTAGTGTTTTGATACATGTGGAAAATTCTAGTTTTATCGACTTGCTAGCAGAATTTGAAGTAAGAAAACAGAAATAAACCCCAGGTCTTTTATATCTGCAGACTTTAGTTCCCCAAACCTCTCTTCTGCAGGATAAAATTTAGTAAAAAATCCTTGGACTGCACTGTCAGGTGGTGGAACATGAAATATTCATTTGTTTCATCTTTTTTGCCTTAAATGGAAACACATGTTCCTACTTTGTAGTGGCTGTCCTAGGCTTCTCCTATGTGGATCCAGTTAGCTAGACTGGTGGTAAATGTGGACACCCCTAAGAACTGTCAGTTTATCCACTGTCCCTCAGAACAGGTGGAAGCAGTGGTATTTTGAATGTCAGTAGTGGATTTGACTACATGTTTGCAGAAAAGGTAGAATGACACTCGGCTGCTCAGTTCTCTCCAGACACATTACATCTTGTAGCAGTGAAGTAAGAAATGAGTGCTCTCTCTGCCTGTTACACATATTTCTGAATGGATTCAGGCCAAGGTCCAAAAGGAAGCCCAGCCTGCAGAGTAGAGTGGAATGTGTTGTTACAGAAAGGAATGACCAGGTTAGATGTGGACATCTAGGATGTGGATGCCCCATAATTACCATTTGAGATGCTCTGGGGATTCTGCCTGACCACTCTCTGTCTCCCACACAACACAAGACAACATAAGTCTCATGTAGCTTCTGCATCCTCTACTGTGGATGTCTTGGTTCTCTAAAGATGTCTTAGCACAATATCCTTATGATCAGGCAACTTCCCACTGGAATCATGGAAGAACCTCCATACCTAAGTGTCTGTATGTTAAGACTGAAGGAACTATGACTGTGTACTCTCATCCAGTCTCTCTTTTCCATTTTCAGATGTTACTCCATCTCCTTCAGTCTACAGGATGGTCTCTAAAGATGATGAGGACTTGGAAATGTGTCTTATCACAGATTACTCCCCAGAAAAGCTTACTTTTGACTCAGCTAATATGTCAACAAATGTTGTTGTGGAGGTGGCAACGCCTGAGAACAAACATGAAGCAAGCTACCTGTCAACCTACTGGGCCAAGAAAGATAAAATGCAGTGTGGTGCAAATCACGAGGGCTTTGGAGAACTGGAGGGCGAGGATCCTGAAAGTGGTAATAGCCCATTCATTCATTGTTGGATGCATGCACTGGGCTAGAGATATACACTGATCTCTGTGCTATTAGTATGAGCAAGGCTTGTGCACATCTCCCAGCTCTACAAGCAATGCTGAATTATGCTCTCAAAATCCAGAGGAACATTGTCTTGTTGCCTCTGTTTTCTTTTGCCTTCCTTCTTGGTGGAAACAGGTAAGGGTCAGTAGACTGATACCATCACAGCAAAGAGATCTTAAAATCACACCATGGGAGATTTAAAGCTTGAAATTCCTTTGTCTGCTGGGACACTAAAGTTTAATTAGATCATATTTTATGTTTGCCCTGAAAACAGCAGAAATGGGTGTTTATGGGAGGATTTACAGGCCAGAAACCCTAATCCAGCCCTTTTAAGTACAGACATCTTTATAAGCTTCTGAAGAAGTATATTTCTGTTAATAATTACATTTATTGTTACTACTTGCAGGTGCCAGTGCTGTCTGTGTTACAGGGGTGTCTCTACACTTCAGGACAGGTAAGTACACAGCACTTTAGGAGTAAAGTTTGGCCTGATTAAAGGAAATGTCTTCTCAAGTTTTTGCTAATGTACCCTGTTTGCAGAATTCCTGTTGGAGCAAAAAGCTCGGACAGGAAATTTCCAAAAGGGCCCCACAGAATTTAAATATCAAGGCTGGAAGTCACTAGGTTAATGTAGTCTTCCAGATCTGAGCTGGTAATTTTATGTGACTGGTGTAGCCAGTGCCTACATGCTCCTGCTAGGACCAGCCAACAACCACTCCACATCATATAATGGGTTAAGATACTGATATGAGTCAGCCTTACTGGATGCTTGATTGCATTTCAGACTTCAAAAGAGTTTTTATTTTTGGCTGCACAAACACGTAATGTGCCAAAAGATAAGCAGGTGTTTTCTGCAGTGTGTACTCAGAACCAGGGTTGCACTGAAGTTACGATGCATCTGAGCAAGCTTTGCTTCAGCTCATGGCTGTGGTAGTACAGCAGCCAGTGCTGGAGCCCAAGCAATTGCTGTTTCTGGTGGTTCAAAGAAGCTGAGCCTGCCTCTGCACTTGCCCCATTTGCAGAATAGCTGTACTTTTCCGATATTGCAGCCTTTCTGAAAAGAAACCAGTTAGCCTAATGTTTCCAAAAGATCACTTCAGAAAAATACTCATCACTAAATTTGGCTTATTTGATCAGTCATTTCAGAGACAATTTTTTAAAGATAAATATAAAATGACTTTTGATGACAGCTCTCTACTTCCCCAATATAGATCAATGTATTTGCAAATAAAAATTACTGAAGATTATTGAAAATTCAAATAGACTTTGTGTTCTTTGAATAAAATTTAACTTGCTTTCCTCTGCTCATTTAAAAAAAAATAAGGGAAGGAAGGAAGCCTCCAGCATCGTGGGCTCATAATACACTATATTGGTTGACAGACTTGATTATTTGCTAATTAAGTGGGTATTGGGTGAAAGCCTGGCCCTTGAATCACCAAGTGGAAGAAATGAAAGCTTCTCAGTGAGGCAGCCCTGCTCACTGTCTCCTTAGATGTCCTACTAGCTGACTCAGTCCCACGAGGTGGAGCAGCTTCATTAAGAAGTGCTTTTAAGTCTGTCTGGAAGTGAGGATGTCTCAGTTCTCTTGTGACTTTCATTCTCTGTTATTTTCACAGACGAAAACCTGAACATGCTGTCTTTATCACAGCTGGGCTTGAAAATAATTTTAACGAAAGCAATAATTTTTAATGTGCTTATGACAATGCTTACCTTGAAAAAAAAAGTGAGTATGCATCTGAATTAGTTCACTGGCTATGAATGTTCCTTCTCTCTGTAACCACTGTTTATGCAGTCTATTCATACACCTTTTGTCTACCAACAGTAAAATCCCTCCACTCCTTTGGCCACATAATTATTTTTGCCTGCTCCTCAAGTCTATTTCTTTTTCCTTTATCCTTGTAAGAATTAACATTTTTCTTCTTTCTAGACATCTCTCCCTTCTATTTCTACATTCATCTCTTTCCTTGTCTGCATTCATCCATCAGATTCACACCCTGACCAGCCTCCAGCTGGGAAAATTTGATAGTTACTGACTTTAAGATCTCAGACCTCACATGTTAGTTTTGGTCCCGTGTCTCTTTCTCCTCTTTCTACTACCTAGACATTCAAGTCTACATTTGTATAGCCACACCTGTATCACAAAAGATGATTTAACATACCTATATTTTTGTTACAGGAATGAAAGTAACCAGATGGTACCAGAAAAATCTGCTGAGTACCAGAGCATCATGTGCGAAGGGGCACACAGGCATTCCTATTGCAAGGGATGTCACTTGCTGTTTCTGTATATCACACCAGCCATTGCAGTCTAAATTGCTTTATTTGCATTGTAATAAATCTACTACAAAAATAAGCCTAAAATTCTCAGCATCCTGCTCCCTCGCATGCCTGATTCATTTAGCATGACAATGCCACTTTTTCAGTGAATCATAGTTTGCTATAACTAGAAATTGCCAGACATCATTATTACATGTGTTACAACAACACACAATTTCTGCTTGGGGCAGTGTTGTAAATATCACTTGAATGCGAATTCTTCATACTTTGATATCTTTCAGGTATGCATGTCTTAGAGTGCACTCCCACAGATTGCATTTCAGTTGCAAATGAAACACTCTTAAAAGCAGAGTCCTAATTCAAGGTGCTATGCACCATGTTCTGCTCTCTTTTGCTAGATCAGAGCAAGATGTCATTTTTTCCCCCATAAAAGATATGCTGCTAGGTCTCCCAGGAGCCCTGAATTCAGTGAAATTCTCACTTCATTATCACAGAAGAAAAGCATGGTTTTTACTACTTTTAAAAGTCTATCTAGCCTTAACATTTTCTGAATTTAAACCAGCTTAAGATTTGGCTTTGCATTTAGTAAAAATACAAACTACTTTTGGTCTTTTGGTTCAGTTCTAACAACCTTAGATTTCCTGATTTCTTTTTATAATCATTGCATAAAACTATACTGAAATATTTACCTATCCATGCATGCTCTCCCTGGAAACAGTACATTCGCGTGAAATTTGCGTGCTGCTAACTCTTCAATTGTATCAGCCACCACCCTGATGTCTTGGTATTCCTTTAAGCCTTTGGCTGCTATTAAATGATTCTTATAAAAAATAAGAAACTTTTTTTGTCTTTTGTATCTGTAATTTGAGGAACTTGTTTAGCCCTTCAGAGGAGCTTTAAGGATGAGCCTGGCCTTTGGGGTGAAGGAGGGAAGGGCCGTCTAGACTCTCCTCTTCAGCCTGACTTGAGCACCAGGCACTGTTGGCAATAACTGGCTGAATCCACTGCACCGGGGAATGGCTGCAAAGTCCCTTTCCAGAGCATCCTTGCTGTGGCTGGCTTAGAGGGAGGGGAACGGAGGAAAGCACCTCTCCTCCAAGAGTAGACTCTGTGCTACGTGAAGACAGCGGTGAAATATGGCTTGCCCACAGTGAGAGGCCTAGTCAGCAGTCCAGGTTCTTGAAGACAGATATCTACTGCTGTGGGGGACACAGGAGCCTGAAGTGTCCTGCCTCTAGAAGTCTTCCACTCCCAAGCATCTCTGGAGAACAAGATGCCTGCTTTGCATTGATGACACCAACCGACCAGCCTCTGTCTCCAGGATCAGTCTGTCACTGGCAAGAATGGGAAGGAAATTTTCTCCTTTTGTAACATCAATTTCTCCATCTTCTTCTGAAGGAGAAATATCTTCTCTGGAAGGGGAAATAATAAGGTTGCTCTGAAAGAAACACACCCTTCTTGCAAAGCCTGAACCTTGCTTGTACCTCATACCAGTGCCCAGGCTGAGTGGCAGGGAAAGCCTCGCCAGACCGGCAGGGGTGATTCCCCCTCTCAGGTTATTTCTTACCCTGCTGGATTCATAGCCATTGCAAGGAACTCTGATTTTGGAAGGACTCATGCTTCAAATACTTTTAGCCAAAAGCCCTGGTGCTTCATGTGGTAGAGGGTCCCCATGTGAAGACCATGCCAGCATTCCTACCACAGAATCTGACTCCACAGTGCCAAGCAGCAACACAATGAAGTCTCCTTGGTCTCCTGCCATGGTGCTGCTCCCTGACCACCTAGCAGGTGGACTGTCACAGGGTTACTGACCCCTCCTGCCAAAGAACAACTTTAAACTTTCCAGGTCTATTGCTTTGATTATTTTATAGTTCAGATGTTCAGGGACTCATTCTCTTGCCTCTTTCGACACAGCAGTCACTCTCTCTCCAACTGTAGAAAGCCCACAGCTCTTTAAATGCTATATCCCAGGCAGCTCTGGAAACTTACAGCTCTTGAAGCTCATGAGGTCTGCCACATCGCAGGGAAATAACTTGATGAAGCTGCCTAAACCATATTTTAATTACAAAGTAGGTCATTGCATTTCACAGATTTCCGACTGATTAAACTAATTCCAGAAATGGCCAGGGACATGGAAGAAAAGCTTCCATGTTCACTTAGCTTAAGCATCTTTTTTTAAAAATTAGCATCTGTCTTAAATTTTTCATGTTGCACTTCAAACCCACTCTTGGCTGTGTGGCCAAGGAGGAAGGACAGTGTGCTGTCTCTGTTTCCACATCTCACTTTTCCAGTGATATGATTTGCTGAGTGAGGGGATGAGTGTACAGATAAAGGTAAATGTTTTGACTAAAGTGACTCTTAGCATGTGTTCTGCAAAACACTGAATTCGTAAGTCTAGTTCAAAGATACTTTAGCTCTCCCACCACCACATTGTGCCCCTCCCCCGCCATTACCACATTGTGGTTTCTTGTTTATTTCGAGAAAGAAAAACCGCAGTGCAAAGCAAAGGCATGAAACGGTAACACGGTAGGACAGGATGTTGAAGGGGTCTCATTGCCCAGGTGAGGCAGGAAGAGGACGCACAACCAGTTCCATGATGTCACAATCAAGATCTGGGTCACCTTTTGATGCTCCACCATGTCCTACCGCAGAAACCACTTCCTCTGGAAAGTGGAGCACCAAACAGCGTGGGGGGAGCAGAGCTGGTGTGGCATGTGGCAAGGAGGAGGAGAAGCGTGTGGAAAAGAACAGCAGACGTTAGACCACAAGCCAAAGTCAAATGAGGTTAAGGCACCCTCCCTTCCTGCCCCCTCAACGCAGCCTGTTTATGAGTCTGAGGGGAGTTGTTTTGAGTGCAGCAGGCAAGAGTGAGCTATGTATAGCGTAGGCAGGGAAAAGGAGGGGAGAAAATACATTATAAAGTGAGGTGGGGAGAGATCTTAGAGGTGTGTAAGACTTCTGAATTTGCCAATAGGCCTCTGGACCCTATTATTTATACAGACAGTGAATCCAAGCAGAAAAATGCTTTCACTTCTCCTGACCTAAAAAAGAAGTTAGAAGATGGAGCAGGCCAGGGAATCCTCTGACACTGGCATGAAAGGAGATGTTGCCATGGTCCATCTCCAGCGCACCCTGCCCTATGCCGGCTTCTGCCCCCTAATACCTATCTATGAGCAGGAGATAAATTTGCATCTTTTCTAGGGATTTTGTTGAAGAAAACACTCTGCTCAACATTTGTCATTTCTCATTAAATATGGCCCTGTACACGAAACACCTGCTCTCCTTACCCTCTTCTGCAGCATGAACAGGGATCACCATCTTTATCAGGAGCAGAATCTGAAGATAACTACAGAGCTGTTGAAGCTTATTCAGATGTGAGAGTAGCTCTAACAGGCTCTGAATTGTAATGCTGAGTTTATGGTAACTAGAGGGATTGCAAGCTCATAAAAAAATCAGGAGAGGAAAAAAAAGAAACCCCACAGAAAATCCACAGTTTTTCCAATTCCACAGTCTCCCATGCAGTTCTCAGAAGCGGTCACAGGAGGGTCTCAGCCTGGAGCTCTCTCAGAAACCAAAGCGTGGGGACACCGAGTGACACAGATCCACAGGGAGGCACTCGCAGCTTGCGAAAAGGGCAGACCCTGAGCTGTCCCTGCTGCTCTGAATATGCTGGCTCCGTCTACCATGGGCCTGGCTGAGAGGGCCCTTCTCATGGCAGAGCAGAGTGTAGCAGCTCATCTATGGTCCCAGCCTGCTGCTAAGTGACCTGCCCGCTCCCCACCATCAGTAGAGCTGGTACCATCCTAAACAAACCCACCTTAAAGCCTGGGGCTGGAGAGGGGAGGTGTCAGAGCTGGGAAGAAATCTCTGTTCCTACCAAAAGGCCCAGAGAGCATCCTGAGACAGTGGAGACCCTTCATGCTCGTACCTCACCCTTCAGAACCTGTTAGGCCAGAGACTTAGCAGTTTTCATGCTTTTATGGGTTTAATGGCTGCAGCACATCTGGAAATGCTAAAATGAAAAAGGTGGTTAACAGGAGCCATAATCCAACGCTGAGGTTGATGCTAGCAGTCCCCATGTTTTTATCTCCACAGTGTCAGCAGACAAGTGTTTCTTTGTCACATAACCTCAACAGATTTTACTTACTCAGTGTTTCAGCAGCAGAACAAAGCAGACAAGTGTGAAGCAGGGTCAGTACAAGGAAGGAACCTCGTGCCTGCAGATGACACAGGTAAATTCTGCAGTCAAAGGTGCAGAGGGGCTGGCCAGGGTTAACATCTCATCCTGTGCCCATATGTTGATCATCACAGGGCTCTGATTTTCCATCAGGACAAAGAAGCATCTGACCTCAATGCAGGAAGGCTTGAGCAGGCCATGGCCAAGGGCCAAAGCCATTGATTTTAAGCATTTCACAATGCCTTAGAGAGGGAAAGATTTTCAGTGAGGTTGTCTGAGGAGTGACCTTCTCCATGGACCCAGAATAGCTCAAGTGAAGCTCTATCTGAGGCACTGACACAGCTTGGCAGCCCCTTCCAACATCCCCAGGTTTATCAGCATACTGCGCCAAAGAAAAGCCAACACTGTGCTGGCGTGGGCGTATCACTACGAGGACTTCGCAAGTCTGTAGGTCCAGCTGGGACATTCAGTTGTGCCCCACAAACCTTTGAGGTATAGTAGGGCCTGCAGGACGATGGGTACACCTGGGGATGTGCTGGAGGACACTCCCTACTTCCTTCCCTTTGTGACCGCTAACCACAGCCTAACCCAACTTTTCCACAACTTTGAAGCCTGGGGGCACACTGGCAACATACTTTCCATAAGATAAAGGGGCAGGAAAAATGGAAATTAAAAGGGATGGATGACAACTGAATTTCCATGACAACTTGTTTCCTGCTCTCCCCTGAAACTGGGGCACAGAAAAAAAGCATTTTGGGTAGAAAGGGAAGAAGGGGGCTAAATACAGGGAGTCATGTCTGAGAAGGAACTTGGGTGTCAGAAGAACCTCTGTATTCGTCATCAACAGAGAAAAGACTGCAGTATTATAAAGGGTTTTATTGTTGGAAAGAATTACATTAACCGTAATGAGGCAGGAGACCCCCTCCATAGGGCAGTTTGTGGGGAAAAATCTTGAGCCCTGCCTCCCTTCCCTCCACCGTGGAACTAGGTGAAGGTCTGCTGGAGCACAGCACTTCCCAGTGGCAGGCTTTAGCATCAGAGCTCAAGAGCAATTCAAGATCTGGAAAGAGATAAAGGCAACATGAGCGATGTTTCTGCAAAGGGAGAGGAAATACCCCATAAGCTCCAATGACCTTGTTGCTCCTTGCAACAGTGATAACAGGGTATGTCCTCCACTTTCCAGCATCAAACTTTTCCTGTCCCAAACTCCCTCCACTCATTTGCTGAGAAACTTCAGACCTGGACACCAGCCACACCATGGGCTCCAAGTAGGACAACCCTCACACACAAAGCCCAGGAGCCCCTTCTGTAAAAAAAGAATGGGGTATTTCTCTCCTAAGAGAAATGTGGGTAGGTTTCTGTAACACTCCTAGTTAGACTGCCTTGTAAATTATAAAAGCCAAAAAATACAAGCACAAAACCAGAAAGCCGTAAATCCTAACCCTGTGTCAACCTAGAGGACAACAGCTAACTGTATTTGGCCAAAATGAATCTGGGAGCTAGGACTCTTGGATTCACTCTCTGTGTGACTCTCAGGCAATACAAAAGTACTGAACCCTTGTGAGCTGTGCTTGCCCCTTTTGTGACTCCATGGATCTGTACCTCACAGCGTCTTCTTGAGTTCAGCCTACAAAATTGATGACGACAAGATGGAGGATGGTGTTGGCAAAGAGGAAATCGGCAAACGCCCGCTCTGGTGAAATGCCTTGGAACTCGCCTTTGTTCTGGGGGTTGATCTGGATCCGGAGGCAAACTGCATGGCAGAGAAAGAATGAGAGATTAAGGATCATGAAAGTAAGTCATGGTGGAAAGCACACTCTTCCTGGGGCAGCCCACCCCATTCTGGGTCACTGTTCCACCAGGGTACAAGAAAAGGTAATTCCACCTTATAATAAGGAAATGCAGGACCACTGGCAGGGGATTTGCACAGGACTTTTATAAAGTCAGCTCTCTCACAGCCCCTACGCTATCCAGGATGATCAAGTGAGTCCTGAGCAGAACAGGCTTATAACAGGACAGGACTCATATAGAAACTGGAATACTTCTATGTGCTCCACTGGGTGTCTTAAAGGTCTTTTCCGACCTAAATGGTTCTATGACGTGGTTTCCAGGGGTATTATGGGAGAGCAACACCCTGAAGCACTCATTGCCAGAGTCTGGGTTTCACTAAAGGACACTAATAAGGAACAGTAAAAGGGAGGGCTCCTTGGCTGCTCGGAAGAAGCAAGGACATCCTAAAGGTGACAAGAAGCCGGGTTTCTGTG